TAAAATAAAACCATTTAAACGGGGTGTTCCGATTTATATGTCACTTATTATATTACGAGCTCAAAGCTGATCACTTACAGTGCAGCCAGAAATTTTAAACAGGCTAGTCTTGGAAAATAAGAAAGATAGCGCACAAGCTTTTTTTTAAAATAAACTTTTCCCAAGAAAGAAAGGTTTGAGATAAGTCCGTTGTCTCAACCGGAAACATGTACATATGGATAACCAATCTAACAGATCTGGTGATACCGATGTACTTCTTACGCAATTCACTATTTTACGAAAGTTTTATGTCTGCGACTCTCTTAATACGATTTCCAACTAGTCTATAAGAAATCATAGTTACAAATAATGTACTGTACGTCTTTTCGAGTATTCCAGTTATCGATATTGTTCAATGTACTGTATTATTTGGATTTCACTTGGTGATTCTTCCCTTGCTCTGGTCATCGGCACGAAGCTGGTGAACCTGAAACAAAAATTGCGTAACTTCAGCCATAGCACATCTGGATACAAGTGTTTCGCCCTAGGATGTAATATTTAAGGTAGGGACTTCTTTTTTCCTGGAATTCTTGTACATAGACTGCTGGATTTTCTTTTCAAGGAATATATTCCATCTTAAAGTGAACTTTGTAATTTCTTTCATTATTTACAATTTGTATAGACAGGGAGGAGTCCTGTGCCCGATATTATTCATTATGATGAAAAGCAAAACTAAGTACCTGTCGGTTTCTACAAAATGAGGCCAATAAGTATTTCAGAGTGCGCATTCGCTGACAACCTGTTATTCTGCGCTAATACCCCAAAAGACTTACAAAAACCTTAAAATCTGGATCCAGGAATTACCGAAGAGAAGTTTGAATATTAACGTATCTAAAACAAAAGTGATGACGACAGCAGAGGGGAATGGAGTGAATATAGTTACCTAGGGCTCATGTATAGAAAAAGTCGAAGCTTTTAAATACTGGGTGGTCCATTTAAATTTTTTTTTTAAAAATGGTATAAAAAAAACTACTAAATATTTTTCCAAAATTTTTTTTTATTTGAAAGTACAATCCTTCCGATTAAGTATGGAATACAACTTCATTTAAATGACTGCCGCGGCTGGCTTTGCAGTAGCCCATACGGTCAGTCCAATTTTTGACCACATTTTCAATCGTATGTGGCTGTATTTCAGCATGTATGTTCTCTTATATTTCGCCAATTGTTGCTGGTTTGTTGCCATAACACTGGTCTTTAGTGGCACCCCATAAATAATATTCTAATGGGGTCAAATCACAGCTCCGAGGCGGCCAAACAACATCAGAATTTCGGCTGATAATGCGATCACCGAAAACACTTCGCAGAAGAGCAATCGGAGCGTTTGCTGTGTGACACGGAGCACCGTCTTGTTGAAACCAGATGTTACCGACATCAATATCTTGAATTTGTGGAAAGAAAAATTCATTCATCATGGCACGGTAACTCTCACCATTCACAGTAACTGCTGCTCCGTCTTCATTTTCAAAGAAAAATGGGCCAATGATGCCACCAGCCCAAAATCCGCACCAAACAGTCACTCGTTCTGGATGCATTGGCTTTTCTTCGATTGCGTGTGGGTTCTCTGAACCCCAAATGCGGCAGTTTTGCTTATTAACATAGCCGCCAAGATGAAAATGCGCTTCATCTGAAAAGATGATTTTTCGACCAAAATCAACATCTTCATGAAGTTGATTGCAGGCCCATGAAGCGAAGCGAAAACGCATTGGATGGTCAGTTCGCTTCAATTGCTGAACCAATTGAACTTTGTACGCCTTCATACCAAGGTCTTTATGCAAAATTCGACCTACAGTATATTCAGATAAGAGTTAGACCGGACATAAACAAGACCACGTGATCATCGAACGCTGTAACATTCGGCAGGGACGTATTAAGAGTCACGCAGTACATATTTTAGATAGTAGATGCTGCTTTGCGTAACTTTGTAGTAAATTAACACAATTCGATGTGTATACGATTGGTGATGGATATAGGATCATGTGGGGGTGGGGTAAGGAATATATATTGATGTAAATATACATAAGGGTTTCAAAATTTTCGCTTCGATTTCCAGCTTCGGATGCCGCCTGATGTTTGGTGAAATGCAGTCGAATATAATCTCAAAATGGCGTTTAAATTAGCCTAAATTAAAAATAATCGTATATCTCTTAAAATTGCTTTTAGAATATTGATTAGTATATTTTTTGATTTCTAGGTAAATATGTAACCAAATTAAAACGTTCAAAACGTAAAAAAATGTGCATGGTTGAACATTGTCAGAAAGTAGATTCTTGAATAGGTTTTGCCAAAATGGGTTCAAAAATGTCAATAATTAATTAAAAAATACCGTAGCTTTATAATTACTTATAACTTACCGAATTTGATGAACGACATCTTTTATTGGAAAGATGAGCTTGATGAGCTTTCAACATCGCTACTGCCTGAAGCACCAACGTCAATAATGAATGGCTCGACTTGTTCCTCTAAAATATTGTCCAGTTCCGACATTCTCTTTTCAACTTTGTCTTTCACGTGCTTAATATAGTTTTCCCATTTTTGCGCTGTTATTAATTCTAGTGCTTCTTTGAAAAGTCCTTTGAGGTCACAAAATTTGAAAGTTGTATTGTGCTTAGCTATATAATTTTTAACCTCTGCCCATATAAGCTCAATGGGATTGAGCTCGCGATGGTATGGAGGTAAACGGAGCACAGTTTTATTTTGACTTGCTGCCATTTCGTCAATGGCGTATTTTTGATATTCCGCCTTGTGATCCTTGACAATTCTTAATAATTGTACTTTCAGCATTGCTTCTTCAAAGTTGATATTTTTCGAGCGGAGCCAATTTTGAACATCAACTTTCCTTGAAGCCGTTGTTGGGACCTTCTCCATTCTTCGAGAATGATAAGGCGCATTATCCAACACAATTACTGCGTTTTCCTCTAAGTTCGGTAAAATTTTTGAAAACCACTGTTCAAACGATTCGCCATTCATTTCCTCGTGGTAATCTCCAGTTTTCTTAGACTCAAAGCACCACAGACCGTCAACAACAAATCCATCCTCACTGCCAATATGGCAGATAATGAGCCTTTTCCCTTTACCTGGAAATCGAAGTACTAACTGGTGTAGATTTATTTCAATAAGCGAACCTTTTTCAAATGTTTTCATCACATTCAGCGAAAAAACATTGAGTCATGAGATACGCGCAAATATTAATATTAACAAATTATAACTTTATAAAGCTTAAAGTATGAATTAAAATGATTAGAAATATTAGGAACGGTACACAATATAAAACGTAGTAACTTTTTTTAAGTTTATAATATTCGACATATTTTAAGATTATATTAAAAAATTATTGAAATATCGAAAACACATAAAAACATGGCTTAAAAAAGTTCTAACAAATGAAAATGACAATAAAACATCCACGCATTTTATCGAAAGTTATAAAAGTTTTGTTACTTGTAATATGTTTTATCTGCCCCCTGGAATTAATGTTTAGAACCTTGTTCCCAAGGTTTGAAAAACATCCGATTGTTGTCTATTACTCGTATTTACCTGCTGGATTTTTTAATCCGGTGGACAGTCCATCTAGAAAGGCCCTCCTGGATGAAGTTACAGAATCATCAACCCATACTTTACTTGTAGTGTGTCCTGCGTTTACCCACGTTTCATCAAGGTAATAAATCTTCCTATTTTGATTTCTATATTTCCCAATTTTTGTTAAATAATCCCTCCTCCATAGCACAATTTCTTCTCCATCCAGTAGTAAACTATTACGACCCCGTTTTTTCCATTTGAAATTTAAATGCTTCAGTAACGCATGGAAAGTTGATCGTTTGAAATTTGGCAACGTTGTATCTCCATTTAACCTCCTGCAGTACTTTATCTATAGTAGGTATTTCATTCCTAAAGAAGAATTCATGCACTTTCCTCCTAATCGCATGCTTATCAGCTTCATCCAATGATTTAACAATACCTTTGCGATGTTTACTGGTCATTGGCTCAGAAAAGGTGTGATTTTTTTGTATTGTCTTAACACATTAAACACTGATGCGCGACACACCCCAACTTTGTGAGAAACCTTCACAACAATTTCTTTGATGGTTGATGCCTCGTTCTCCTCGCGCTCGATCTTATATATATTCAAAATGACCTTTCATTTCTGCACTCAGGTGTCTTTTTTTAGAGCGTTTCCTAGGTGGACTACAGGAGTTTACAACTTCATCGGCAGTATCTGTACTACTGGGCATTTTGCGCAAGCAGTTGATAACAATAACAATCAATAAAAAGGTATAACAATAACAACGACAAACTCAACAACTTAATAAGATAACAAATGAAAACGTCCAAAGAAATATCAAATTGCAATGATGCACACGACATACGTAACACGTCTGAACCTGAATGTGACTCTGCCTTGATACGACTGCTCTGCCGCTCGGCATAGGCATTTAATTGCGAATTGACCAATGAGGGCTCCTGTTTTACGTCGAGACGGCGGCGTTAGCGTGAAAATCACCCGAACCTTTTGTTTACATCCGGTCTATCTCTTATCTGAATATACTGTAATGATGTGCGTGAAATGTTCAATTGTTGAGAACGTTGGCGCGTTGATGTGCTTGGAGACTCTGCCACACTCTCAGCTACAGCATCGATATTCTCGGGGGTACGCACCGTTTTCGATCTTTCACGTGTTGGTTTGTCAATAAGAAGACCAGTTTCACGAACTTTTTGCACAAAATACCTCACATACGGTGCTGACGGTGCTTCATTTCTTCCCATTTTTGCACGTAATTTTCAGACACAATCTGCAACATTACCACCACTTTCGAAATATTGTTTTAATATTTCCCAGCGTTGTTCAAGCGAATACACAACCATTTTCGTTAATCGGAATGATATGACTGATGTTCTGTCAAATCAGATGCGAAATAAGTCTTGACATATCCCAAAAAACCAGTAACTCAAAAAAAAAACGATAGATGGACCACCCGGGAGTGGTAGTACAAGGTAATGGAACAACGGAAGAGGAAATCAACGAAAGATTAATGAACGCATCTAGGCTCTATCATACATTGAAAACATCTTTCTTAAGGAAGAATATCATAAGCAGGAAAACAAAGATGACCGTGTACAGAACAGTATTCAGACCCATGTTGATATTTTAAAGCGATAGCTGGGTATTAACAAACAAGCAAAAAAGCAAGTTACAGGCTATTGATGTGAAATACCTCAGGGCAGTCAAAGGAGTCACTAGGAAAGTCAAAATTAGAAACGAAGTTATCAGAGAAGAGCTGGGAGTGGAATCTGTACTACAAAGGATTGAAGAAAACCAATTAAAATGGTTTGGGCATTTAGCAAGGATGAAGGATACAAGGCCAGTAAAACTCATACGGGAAGCAAGAGTTTAACAGAAAAGGGCAAGAGGGCGACCGAAAAAGACGTGGAATGATGTATTGGCGAAAATACTCAAGAACAGCGGAATAAGTTGGAACGAAGCAGTACGCCGGCGAGAAATAAAGACTGGGCTAAATTTGTATATAATAATTAATTAGTTTAGAGAATGGAATAATGTAATTGCACCTTACACCTACGGGTATATAAGGTTTTAGATAATTTATATAGTCAGTTTGACAGTTTGACATTTTGACCTTGCGCAGCGTACCACGTACAGTAATGATAGGTATAGACAAATTAATATTGTGCTGTATTTCTTTTTTAACTTGTTTTAATTAATACACCAACCTGTATACATAATTCCGTATAGCATAATACTCACCTATACATAAATAAATTCATTAGACTCCATTCAATAAAAAATTAATTGAAAAAAACTGGAACTATGAAGGACAAAAATATATAGACAAAGCAAAACAATTATAGAAGAAAGAAGCAAAGTTCATCGAATTATAGAAAACCAACCATGTTTGTGTTTATATTTTGTAGCATAACCATTATTATCAATCACAGCCTCGCATCATCTCGGCATAGATTGTAGAAGTTTCTTGATATAAGATTGATCAATCTGTCTCCACTTTTGCTCTAAAGCAGCAAAACGTTCCTCCTTGTCTGAATAATTTTTATCTCGTATTTGGTTATCTAAGTATTCCCATAGATTTTCAATGGGGCTTATATCGGGAGACTGTGAAGGCCATTTGAGGACTGGTATTTTTTCATCTAGAAAGAATTTCTTTGCGAAATTTGAAGTGTGCTTCATTTAATCTTCTACTTATAGTGTTCGTAGAAACACTGACAATTCCTTTTGTCTCGATCTCGGCTTCTACTTGTCTTGGGGTTTTAAACGAATCTTTGGACGAAATTACTTTTATTATTAATCTAACTGATCTAGCATTTAGTTTTCTTGGCCGACCACTTCCCTTAGAGGCTTCCAAGATACCTTTTTGTTTATATTTCTTCAATATTGCCTAAACTGCTTTACGCTTCAGCTTCAAATTCGTCGACGTGACGTTGACCATCTTTGTATAACTCAATGATCTTAGTTTTCACATCGAAATAAATTTCTGGACCACGCGGCATGTTCTTAAAATCACTCAACTTATTCCACAATACTTGATGAATACAAACTAATCCTATTCTGCCACAAACTGTACTGAACTAATGTTGAAAAGAATTTGTCTATATATTTTTGTCCCTCATAAAAAAGCACCTATATTCAGACTTGTATTGTGTTCATTGCAGATAATGTAAGAACAATGAATTTAGTTTTTCTACTAATAACGCATTTGTTTATAGAGCAATGAAGTATGAATTCGTTTTCTAAAGGTATTTAGATAAATATTCATATTTGTCTATATACTTTTGTCCATTGCTGAAGCATATAGACCGATGAAGATCCTTTGACGTCACTACCTCGGCGATTGGTTACTTAGTTTAGTCGCACATAGTTATCAGTCTAGAAACAAACTGGCAGCTGATTTTTCCCCGTCTCCTAATACAATAAACGAGTAAAGACTTTCGTGTGGCTTCACAGCCTACTTACTTACCTGACTTAAGTCCTTGTGACTTTTTTCTCTTTCCTAAATTGGAAAATCACCTCATCATCTTGGGACAGTCAAAAACAAATGGCTGTAACCGACCAGCTGAAGGCTATTCCAGTATTCACTGCCAGTGCTGTGTGGCTTCAGAGGGGAGCTATTCCGAGGGTAACAATATAAAATTGTAATTATATTTAAATAAAGAAATCAGTCTCATCACTTAATTTGCAGACCTCGAATGTAACACGCTAAAAAATATGTGAACAATCAACAAGATGGACCTTGAGTCCCCAAGGAAGACTCGCAAATGCATTTCTCTACAAGGAAATCACAGTTCGAAACTGCAATCGGAACGCTTCCCATTCAACCGACGTCTTCCTCGAAGTGTCACCTATCCAGTCGCCTCCCACACGACGTCTTAGTAGCTCAGAAGCCATTATTCTGAACGACGTCTTCCCTACACAAACACACGCCAGATATTTCGCCTCCTCTAGTAGCACCTATAATTACGAAGTCTGTGTGACTCGGCAATTATGACGTCGCGACACAGAGGGCTCTCATGAGCCGTATGAGCCCTCGAGCACGTTTTAGCCGCGCTAATTGACATCCGACAATGGGCTAAGACCCCGACTACATACCTCCGGCCGACTAGTGTATGATGCACACACCGGAGGGCGGAATGAGAGTCTCGTGACGTGGCGTCGCCGTTAATAAGTGAATTTTTGCTTCATGATTTTCAATTCACTTCATCCATAGCCACTCAAATATACAAGAGCGTTTTCATTGAGTATTTCGTCTGTTGAAGTCGATTTAGAGACTTCAATCATGCGCTTGACGTTAAACTATTTACAAACAGGAATATTTGCAATGTTCGTCCGCGACGCAGGCGCTAGACTTGAAGAAGTTTTATGTTTCTGTCGTCAGCTGATTTTCCCGGCTTTGTTTGACATTGACATATGTTTTGTTTTTGTCATCGAAGTGGCTTTCTGTGAAATTGTTTGCTATATTATATTTAGTTTATTCAAATATTTATAATAAGAATTATCAGGAAATTGTGTCGAAAGTCAAGTCATGAGGTCACTACATCGGATTTTTTACCTGCTACTATACTAAGTGACATATAAATCTGAACACCCAGTTTAAATAGTTTTATTTTAATAAAATTTTGTATAAGTACTTAATGAAGCATAATAAGTAAATGATAAAAATTTCAAAATGATTGCATTGCTTTAAAGCCCTTTGACTTTTAATAATGTGTGGATGCACCCTGATGTGCTACGCATTCTCCAACGCACCTAGGCATGCCTTTGATCAGGTGGTCAATGTCCTCCTGTGGTATCTCATTCCAGGCAACCACCAACTCCTCTCGAAGTGCTTCTAGAGTCTGAGGAGGACGTTGCAAATTGAGCAATCTCCTACCCATCATACCCCACACGTGCTCAATTGCGGATAAGTCGGGAGATCTTGGTGGCCATGGTAACAATGTGACATCATTATGTTGAAAGAAGTCTATTGTGACTCTTGCAACATGTGGTCGGGCATTATCTTGTTGGAAAGTTGGATCTGCCGGGGTGTCAAGATAGGGTAACAGATGAGGTTCTAGAACTTCGTGGATATAACGCTGCGCGTTCATGTTACCTCTGACGAAGATTAAAGGTGACCTGGAACCATAAGCTATAGCACCCCAAACCATAACTCCTACAATGTGATGCACATGTCCTTCAACAAAAAACTGTGGATTCCTCCTTTCACCACGTCGCCTTCTAACACTGGCACGACCATCGTGCATGTCTAAACAAAATCGAGACTCGTCACTAAAGACAATACTGTTCCATTCCTGATCCGAGAGTGACCGTTGTCTGCACCACTCAAGGCGATTACGTCGGTGTTCTCGAGTTAAAGGGAGGACCCAGTGTGGCCGGTATGAAAACAAGCCAAAACTTCTCATTCATCGGTAAACACTTCGCATGCCAATAGGTCTTCCGTGTTCTGCAAACCATTCATTTGCATTGGACCTGGTAGCGAAGAAACGGTTCCTTAAGGCCAATAATCTTAGGCGGCGATCTTCACGGTCTGTTGTTCTACGGCGGCGTCCAGTGCCCCTTGCTCTTTGCGTACGGCCTTCTCGAAGCCATGCCTGACAACACCTAACCACTGTGTCTACACTTCTTTGCACTCTAACTGCAATTGCCCGAAAAGAAAGTCCACCTTCCCGAAGTCCCACTATACGGCCCCTATCAAACTCACTAAGTTGACGAAATCGTATAGGTCTCCGTACTCTAGGCATCGTAACCGATCGTAAAGGATGTCAAGAACTAAAATCCGACAACGTTGATTCTTTACTGCGGCTGAAATATTCATTTTTAGAGCGTTAGTGAATTAAAAAAAAAGCAGTATAAAAACCGGAATGTCCAACTGATAAGGCTGAAAATTTGTTCACTTGTTAGTTACAGTAAGATAAATACATTCACCAACTTTTATTAAAATAAAACCATTTAAACTGGGCGTTCGGATTTATATGTCACTTAGTATAGATGACTTAAACATAAGCTTGCTTTATATTGACGAGGGAAGACAAATGCTCTTATAACAGTCCTCGACTGATGAGATTTTGATTTATACTTTTTACGCGTATAGGGGCAGTCCCCTACAGCAAATGCTTGCGAGGGGTTCGGAGAAGTATTTTATATCCTCTTGAGGAGTTCCGTTCAATAATGCGTATCAGCGTAGAGGGTTTGGGATGCATTGAGTTGTTTTTATTAATTAGAAATGCTGGAGGGGATGCCAAACGTTATGCGTATAGGGTGATACGTTTCATTGACGATGATGCAATCAGTCATCGATCAATTCATACGTCGCTAGAAAACTGATGGTGGCTGAAAAACGTGCATCTGCTACATTTTTGTATTAAATTGCAGTACTAAGCATCAAGGAGGTTGGCTACAATGGACGTTTTCTATGCGTTATTCTTGGATTGTCTACGTAAATGTAAATATAAATAATGTAAATAAACTATACACAATGCTCTACAATGTTATCACGGTGTAGGCTATGTATAACAGGGCATAAGCGATGTTAGGCTTGTTAAATAAGAGGAGTAAATTATTATGATTAGTGCTGTATACAGGGTGGCGCATCGAAAACGAAACAGCTGGCAGCTCAGTTTTTTTTTG